TTAATCCTCTTTGGTGAATACCATTGATGATCATTCCTTCCTTTCTTATATTTTCCATCAAGGTAATGATTCTCCCTTGTTCCTTTATATTGCTTCAATGATTAATTATCTATGTGATTGATGTTTTTTATTTATCAATCTTTTCTAAAGAGGATTTGTGGATTTAAAATGGTTTTTTGGAGTTAATTAAAGATCTATTTTACATGAGTTTATTTTTGAGGTTTTATTGACATAATTGAGCTTTTTTTGGAGTGATTAAAATCATATTAAATCAGATTTTCATTTCATTATGGTTCGGATATCAATTTATTAAAAACAAGTGTGATTTTGGTGTTTTTCGAAAATCTGGGAATTGATTTTGGTTGATGCTGATTTGGACGGTTTAAGTCGTGATTAGAAGTTAATTTTAGTTTTTCTTGATTACTTTTAGGAGAGGAAAAGTTGTGTAAAGATGCTAGGAAGCTTTAGTTACAAGATCGGTAAGTTTTTCGGTTGTTTCGATGTTTTTCGCTCTATTTTTGGTAGGATAATTTTCTGCTCTGTTTTGTCTATCTTTTTGATGTGTTTACTTGCTTTTCAAGGTGTTTTATAAATTGTTTGTTGTGGAAAAATGGTGCTTAGTGTGTTGGTGATCATTTCCTGAGTGTGGGGAAGTCGTTTTGCTTAGCGAACAATAAAGGTGAGTGACTTTCACTCTTTGTATATGGACTTGTTCAAAGGTGAATGGAGGTTCAGTGTGGATTGACTCTTAATATAAACTCAAATAATGATGAATATTTATTGATTCATTTACTAAATATGTGATATGACATAAATTGTGAATGCAATTTGTTAATTGTGATTGTGTTGCAATGATGCATAGAGATTTCAAGTGTATTTGAAAGTCATTATATATTAAGTAAAAGTGAACCAGGATTAGTCGACCTTCTTGTTGTCCATATAACTGTGGTTGATCATGACAACCAAAAGTGATAGTATTTCAAAAATGTGTTTGAAATTGTATAAGTCAAACTATGCATCATTGACAACCACACTTGATGAAATTGAATTAATTGACTATTTGTCCTTAATGGGACCTTTGGATATGAAAGACATGCATAGGAAAGAGTACTCTAAGTGTTTTTTTCAAGTGTAAGTGTTATCGAGATTATACGAAGTAAGGTTGGTGTGTTGAGCTTTGCTACGAAAACATCACGGGGTAAGAATGGTTTTTTGAGCTTTGCTCCAAAAGTCATGGGTTTTAGAACTATGTGAGTCCACAATTAAAATGGGAGTTGTATGGTGTTTGTTTATCCAATGAGTGAGTTGTGTTTTGAATAAAGGCCATTGATATTAAAATGAAATAAAGTGTGCATTGTGGGTGACTTGTCAAAAAGGTAATAATACATGTGTGTATGTGTTGGATGGTGGATATATGACGAATAATGATATGAATGTAATCTGGAAATTGTGTTTAAACATGATGTATAATGTCATTACAAGAGTATATAAATGTTGAGGTAAAAACAAGTGAGGAGTGAATGCATATAAGGCTTGCCTTTAGCTTTTTATTGTGCATTACTTAGAATGTTGGTTCTTCAGATGAGTAGTTGTTGTGTCGGAGGCAAGGAGCTTGCACTCAAGGTGGTCGAGCAAGGCAAAAGTGAATAAAACGTACGTGATGGTTTTCCTAAATGTGGCAATGTGGGGTCCTTGGGAAATAGAAAATATTGATATACTTTTGATGTAATAAGATTGTTTTCTTGTGGAACATTGGTTTGGGGTGTTGGATTTCATTTGGTTGGATTTGAGGTATTAGATTATTGGAATGTAAGTTGTTGCTTACTTGAATGTGGAAATTTACCAAATGTCGAAATATTCCTTACGTAAGTGGTTGGTGTGCTTAGAAAAGTGACATTAAGTGTACTAAACCTACTAGACTTGTAGGAAGCATGAAATGACCCAAAATGAATAATCTAGGTGGCTTGTACTCTAAGTGAACTTTTATGCAATCTTTGACTTTTTGTCAAATCCTTGTATGTTGTTGTGAATTGTGTTATGAAGCATGCTACAAGTGTATTTTTATATGTATGAAGTGGTATGATAGTGTACAAGCGTGTATCTAGTCCCTATGAACAATTATGTGGAAGTTTAGTAACTCAATTGTGCATGTTCTTGAGAATTTTGCACTTTTCCAAAAAATAGATTGATCCCTTTGATAAAATGATTGATTCCTTTTCAAAAAGGATTGATCCCTTGGTTTGAATGATTGATCCCAAACTCACTATTTTGCTTAGAATCGACCCCCCTTTAAAAAGGATCAATCTCTCTAAAAATGAATCGATCCCTATTAAAATAAGATTAATTCCTTCGATGTGTAACCTGATGAAAAATGGAGAAATTGCATTAATTAAAGGTCTGAAGTGACCCCAAGTCTTATTTTTCCCCAGCAAGTTTGTATGAGTTCAAAGTGGCCTAGAAATTGATTTTTTAATTAATAACAACCCTTAAATTGGATTTTGTTTAGACTTGAGTTATCACCCTTAAATATATCTAATTTCATAATGGAAGTGTGAATTGTTTGTCTGCTTTTGGTACATGACTTTTGAAATGTTTACGTTTTGGCCTTTTGGGAAACATGTTCGATTAGGGGCTTGAATGATGTCTGATTGGTATGAAATTTTTCATGTCACCAATTGGTAAATAATTAAGACTAATAGTAAACATAATTTGGTGTTTAGATATTGAATTATTTTGATGATGTGAAATATTTTTTTACTCCTATTTGATTAATGATGTTGTTATGATGATTCAATGCCTTAAATGATCATGTATTAGATCTGATGCTTCACCGTTACGTGTTTTAAAACACATTATTTAAATTTAGGTTCTTTCACATAGTGTGCATGATAGGATTTTATTTGTCTGGCGTGATCACAACCTAATGTGCGCTCAAGTATCTAGGCCTATCTTCTAGACCGGGTATGGGGTGTTACATGATCCTTTAAAATATCTCAAATATTCAATTTTATCTAATTATTGATAACTCTCCAAAAGAGTTGTTATTTAGAGCCATTTTACTCAGGTTAAGCTTGTAATTCAGAATTTTTTTAGGACCATATTTAAATTACTTTAGCATAGTTTACATCATTTGCATATTGAGAATGAATTGTTGGTACTCCAGTTGATTTTAATGTTGTTATTGCAAATTGATATTGATTTTTATATTATTATGTTGTATGGTGATGCTGGATTGTATTATCGCAATGGTTCTACAACATTGTTGAGTCACAAGGTGATTAAATAAATTTTAGGAATTGATAAAGTTGGGGTATAAAAGGCTGGAATTTGAATTTAAAATAAATTTTAAGGGAAAAATGGATTTTCCCATCGGTGGAAAGTTTGACTTTGATGGACTATAGATATAATATTTTTACACACTTTTCTCATATTTGGAAACCCTAGCCACCTTATATTTTTTTCTCTCCTACTATCACCATGGCCGTCTAAGCTTTTCGTCGGGGAGTGTACTGGCAGCGTGGAAGCAGTTGTACTAGCAGCATGGAGAAACTGTGTAGCAGCGGCGACTGATTTAGATTCAAGCTTGTCTTAGTATTATTTCCTTGAAAAAAGAGACATTTTTCTAAGTTTGAATTATTTAATTTTATATTGTTATTCAGATTTGAACATTAGGTGTTCGATTAAATGCCTTGCTTATGATTTTACTTAAAACAATAGTTTTATTAGTTAAGTTCTTTTTAAAGGATGTTTTCAAAGATGGATTCATCCTTATGTTTGTCGATCTTAATTATTTTTAAAAGTAGAAATCGTTTAGATTACATGATACTTTTGTTTTAACATCGATGTTTATGAATGTCAACTTTAGCATATGGATTCCTATGATGTCGATTATCTTTGCATTATGAATTGTTTGATATATTGTTTTAATGAAAGTTAAATCCAATTGGTTAAGTGTTTAATTTTTGAAATATGGTTAATTTATTAATTGTTGCATGAGTCATAACCTTATTGCCACATCATAATCATACTGTTAACTACCAGATAACAACAATATACTTTCATTCATTAGTTTGATTGCTCCACTACTTGCTACAACATTCCTCTGTTTTTATCATTTTGATTTTTTTATTTTGTTATCCTTCTGTTATATTCTTAAAGTACACATTATTTCTCTTTTCTTTTTTCCAACAACAACTCTTTTATGACAAATGCTCTCTACGAGTTCGAAATCTAATACACTTTGTGTATCCACTTTACTACTTCCATATGATACATATACTTGCATGATTGTTGTAGCTTTTATTTTAGCATCAAGTTTTTGGAACCACTAACGGGGAGTAATTGTTTTACTTTGAAGATTTTTCTTTGTTTATTAACTTTGTTTATTTTGTTTTATAGGTACATTTTTAGCATAATGTTTTTGGTGCATGACCCATAGAAGCAATCAATACCAAGAGCCTTTTGATCCTAAAATCGAACATACATTACGTGAATATTGTAGACGAGCAACCCGTCATATAGAAAACATGGCTCAACAGGGTGATGGTAACAACGCTTTGCCACCAGTTCCAAATGCTGAGGGACGATTGGCAATAGAGTTGACCGGTAGCAATTTTACAATATTGATGATCTTAGTTGGACCATTAGAGAGTACATGGTGTAAACCCTTGAGGAACTACATCCTGGAATTGTGCGACTAGTAATACATGATGCCAACTTTGAGTTGAAACCAGTGATGTTTCAGATGCTACAGTCCATGGGGTAATATAGTGGTTCATTCACTGAAGATCCTAGAACACACCTTTAATTTCATGGAAGTTTATGACTCATTTGTTCAACAAGGAGTTCCTAAGAAAACACTAAAGCTGAAGATGTTCTCTTATTCGTTGCACAACAAAGATAAAGCTTAGTTGGCATAGTTGTCACCTAGTGCTATAGCATCTTCAAATGAGATAGAACAAAAATTGCTGCTGCGATTCAATCCACCAAATATGAATGCGACGCTGTGAAATTATTTGACATCTTTCAAGAAACTAGAAGATGAAAGTTTGTACGAGACTTGGGAGCATTTTAAGGACTTGATGTGTAAATGCCCAATGCATGTATTCCCACATTGAAAGCATATGGAAATGTTTTATAATGATTTGAACATGCTCACTCGAATTGTGGTTGATGCTTCAACAAATGGGACATTATTTGATAAGACATACAATGAAGCCTACGATATTCTAGAGAGAATATAGAACAATGATTGTCAGTACCCTAACACAAGAAATATGCTCGGCATACGTAATGTACATCAGTGGATTCTGACACATTTACTTCCATGGTTTCCCAAATTTTAGCATTGATCGATATTGTGAAGAAGTTACAAAATCCAGGGGAATCTATGAGTTAAAATATGCATATAGTGTTTCTTGTGTTTATTATGGAGATAATCACAATTATGAAGAATGCCCTTAAAATCTCGAGTCTATTTTCTATATGAGAAATTACAATAGGAATGATAATTCCTATGGCAACACTTATAATGACAACTTTCATAATCATCACAATCTATCTTGGATGAGCCAAAATGTTGCCAATCCTTAACAGTAGCATTACAATCAACCGTTCCAGTACAACCAGTAGCAGGTGAAGCCACAACCTTAGTTGCAACAACAGGTGATGCCACAACCTTAGTTACAACAACAGGCCACACAACCACAATAAAGGTAAAACTATCAAGGTCAATCTTCAAAAAAAAAACTTCCAATATATCACCTCTTGAAAACTTAATGAAAGAGTACATGGTAAGCCAATAAGCATCATTAAAAGCTTTAAAGAGTTAAATCGACCAAATGGCAAATGCTCTGAACAATAGATTACAAGGAACGGTTCCACAGCAAAACTGAAATTCCAAAGCAGCAAGGGAAAGATCAATGCAGTGAGCACTGCAAGGTCATTACTACTTGAACTGTATCCACATTGGGAAGCCTCTTGAAAATCCCATAAAGAATTATGAAAGGACTATAAAGCATGAAAGGGTAAGAGCAAGGAATATGATCTTGAAACGCCCATTGTTAATATCACAACAAGGGAAGCGAGACAGTGTAGTAATCTTGGACCATTTCCAGTAGCAATGTCTACTATAGTACCCAATGTCATTCCAAACCCAATGTCACAACAACCACAACCAAGGATGCCTCCACCATTTCCTTAACGCTTTATTAGGACTAGTAGTTCAAAGCATTCATAGATGTGCTTAAAAATTAACAATCAATATCTCGTTGATTGATGCCTTGGAGAAAAACCCAAATTACCTTAAGTTTATGAGAGTAGTTCTTTTGAAGAAGAGAAGACCTAAATAATTCAAAACTGTAGCACTCACCGATGAATGTAGTGCTATGTCTACAAGTTGATTGCCATCGAAGCTTAAGGATCATGGGAGTTTCACTATTCCTTGTATTATTGGTGATAACTTTTAGGTAAATCATTATGTGATTTAGGTGCTAGTATTAACCTCATGCATTTGTCAATTTTTAGGAAATTTAGAAGTAGAGAAGCAAGTTCTACCACTGTCACTTTATAGCTTGTCGATTGTTCTACTGTCTATCCTAGTGACATTGTGGAGAATATGCTTGTGAGAGTGGATAAGTTTATCTTCCCCACTGAATTCATCAGATTACAAAACTGACAAGGATGTTCCCATTATATGTGGCATCCCCTTCCATCCTAACTGCCGAGCTTTGATCGATGTGGAAAAATATAAACTTACTATACGTTTTAATGATGGACATATTACTTTTAATGTTTTGAATAATGTTTCATATATTGATAATGATGTTAAATGTTTTTTATAATTATTGATGTGTTTGCGCATGACCATTAGAATGAATGTTATATCATTGAAGATGTTGCCGGCATTGTAACATCAATTGAGGAGATAGGTAAGAATGAGGGAGCTGAGGGAAATTACATGCAACATTTTCAATCATTATGATTCCCTGATCTTCCTATTCAAGCTCTAAAAACTTCAATTGAAGAGCCACCCACTTTAAAATTAAAGCATTTGCCTGATCATTTAAAGTATGCCTATCTTGGGAATGATGATACTTTTCGAGTCATTATTGTAGCAAAGATTGAAGCATCACAGGAAGATAATATGAATGTTGTTCTAAAACAGCACAAGAGAGCCATTACTTAGATCATCTTTGATATTAAAGGCATCAGCCTAGTATTCTAAGTGCATAAAATCTTTCTGGAAGGTCCCGGCAACAGTTCAGTAGAGCTCAAGGGAGATTAAATCAAATCAAGAAAAAATTTGTTCGAAAGAGATCATAAAATGCTTGGATGTTGGAGTCATACACCTAATATCCAACAGTAATTGGGTCAACCCTGTGTAGTACGTCTCAAAGAAAGGTTGCATCATTGTGATGAAAAATTACAAGAACTATTCAGTGCCAACAAGAACCAATACTGGTTGGAGAATTTTTATGGACTATATAAAGATAAGTAAGGCTACAAGAAAAGATCATTTTCCATTACCATTCATCACCCAAATGTTGTACCATCTTGTTGGACAAGTTTTCTACTATTTCCTTGATGGGTAGTGGCTACAACCAAATAGCCATAAACCTTGAAGATCAAGAGAAAACAACTTTTACCTGCCCATATGCTACTTTTTCTTTACGAAGAATGCCATTCGACATGTGTAATGCTCCCACAACATTCAAGTGACGCATGATGGTAATATTCTCCGACATGGTTGACGACTTCCTTGAGGTATTCATGGATGATTTTTATGTCATTGTCCTATGATTTGACGAATAAATTGCCAACTTAGCCAAAGTTTTAAAGCGATTATAAACAAATCTTGCGCTCAATTGGGAAAAATGTCACTTTATGGTGACTGAAGGCCTAATGTTATGTCATCGTATTTCACATCGTGGCATTGAGGTGGATAAAGACAAAGTGGAAGTCATTGAAAAATTACCACCTCCCACCAATATTAAAGGAATAGGGAGTTTTATTGGACATGATGGCTTTTACCGAAGGTTTATAAAAGACTTTTCAAAGATTACTAGACCAATTTGCTCATTACTGGACCAGAATAGGAAATTTATCTTTAATGGTAAAGCCCTTACGTCCTTTGAAACAATCAAGATGGAGTTAGTAAATGATTCGAGTGTAGTTTCACCTTTCTGAAACTTTCCTTTTGAGCTGATGTGTGATGGAAGTGATCATGCTGTCGGTGCAGTGCTGCGACATCAAAAAACAAAGTCTTTCATTCTATACAATATGCGAGCATAACCTCGAATGATGCACAAACCAACTATACAAAACCCGAGAAGGAATTACTTTTTATGGTGTTTTCCTTTGACAAATTTTGATCTTATCTTGTAGGGACAAAGGTGATTGTTTATACGGACCATTTAGCAGTGAAACACTTGTTTGCAACGAAGGACACCAGGTTGAGGATGATGTGATGGGTGTTTCTGCTACAAGAGATCAATGTAGAGATTAAAGACAAGAAAAGAATCGACAACCAAGTAGTTGACCATCTGTCTTGGTTAAAGTCAGGAAGTAAGGAAGCAAATTTTATATTGTCGACTATTTTCTATATGAAATACTTCTTGGTGTCGCAACACTGCCTTGGTATGCTTATTTTGTTAATCATCTTTTGTGTGGATTGATGCCACCTAATTTGAATCACCAAGGAAGAAAAAGTTTCCTAAGAGATGTTAGAGCATATCATTGGGAGGAGCCATATAGTTTCAAAAAATGCGATGACCAAATTCTAAGACAGTATGTCCCTAAATACGAGCAGTAAAGCATTTTGCATCATTGCCACAATGTACCCTATGCTGGGTATTTTGGGGGCATGCGTACAGAAACAAAGGTTCTTCAATGTTGATGTATTTTCCATTAATGTTCAAGGATGTAAATGAGTTTGTTAAACAATAAGATTGATGCCAAAGAACTGACAGTATTTCTCATTGTAATGAAATGCCAATGCAGCCTATATTGGAGATAAAATTATTTGATGTTCGGGGGTGAGATTTTATGGGATCTTATATGTCTTCTTGTGGTAATATTTATATCATAGTTGTTGTTGACTATGTTTCCAAATGGGTCAAAGTTGTAGCATTATTGTCAAGTGATGATAAGTCAGTTTTGAGATTCCATCACAAGAACATATTCACTCGATTTGGCACACCAAGAGCATTAAATAATGATGAAGATTCTCAATTCACATGCAAGCAAGTTGCCAATGCTTTGCAATGATATGGAGTGAAACATCGTATTGCTACAGAATACCATCCCCAATTCGATGGTCAAGTTGAAGTCTCTAATTGTGAAATTAAGTAAATCTTGGAGAAGTCTGTGAATCTTTTGAGGAAATATTGGTCTTTGCACCTAGATGAAGCATTGTAGTCGTATAGGATAGCTTACAAAACCCTATTAGTCATGTCTTTATTTTACCTTGTGTATGTTAAATCTTGCCATCTGCCGTGGAGCTAGAGCATAAAGCAATATAGACCTTTAAAAAGATAAATTTTGACCTAGATGTTGCTGGCAAAAATATAATGTTGGACTTGAATGAACTTGAAGAGCTTCACAATAATGCCTACAAAAGTACCAGAATATACAAAGATAAGAGCAAGAAATGGCGTGAAAACACATTTTGCCATGGAAAATTCATGTTGAGCAACTTGTGTTGTTATTTAATTATCGATTGAAGTTATTTCCGGGGAAGCTAAGGTCTCGTTGGTTAGGACCATTTGAAATCGTTGAAGTTTATCCACACAAAGATATGTTAATCAAAAACGTGGGGGATGGGAGCACGTTTAAAGTCAATGGAAAACGTTTAAAGCATTATTGCAACGAACAACCTCGACATATTACTTCTATTTCACTAAGCGAATTCCATCTCCTTAATTTTATTTCCTTGCTTTCAATAAGTCAATTTTGACATTAGCTTAGTTTTCATTTTTTTAATTTCATTTCTTTTTTTATTTTTCTGTTCAGGGAATGCCACAACATTATCTGATGCATCACCAATTTTTCCTCGATGTTATTGCCCAGCAACTGCCACTATTATGCACGAACGATGTTGTCC